TCTGAGAGCTGAGGGGATTGATAAATTAAAATTAAAAAGTCAAATCTCCAACATTCATTTGAGAACAGAATAGTTTAAATACCTCCTATTAACTTTTCTATCCTTAGAAATTATTTTTCATTCGTAAAAGGTATGAAAAACGAAAGCGTTCAAACAAATGAATGAAACTGCATTACAGTATGCTTCTCACTCATGGCATTTTTACACATTTTATCCCATTATCTTTTTTAAAAAAAAGCTGAAACTTTTATTATAACACATTTTCAACTCCAAATGCAACATTACTGGGAAGGATCCTGCAGTATTTTTGCTTGCAAGATTAAATATGATCTAACTGCATGGATCAGAGTCTGAACAGTGTATAAATGATATTTATGCAATATTATGTCAAAATAAAACTAGAATAGTATAAGTTGAAGTTTGTGGTAAACTTTTGACAGCTTACACTAATGAAATATATCATTTGTAAAAGTCAGTTATTTTTATGGCACTGTGTATTTTTAGTGCAACTTTCTCTGCTGCAGAGGGTTATCCTTGGTTTTCACAGAGAAGGTCAGATTATATGACATTATGGATATGTTCGATGTATTTTCAAGTCTGTCAGTCTTTCTAGTTTTTGCAAATTAGACACATGTACCACTGCTTTTATTTTTTTTATTGGTGATTAAAAAATAAAATAAACATATTATTTCTAATCTGAAATCTTTCACCACCAAGTTCAGGAGTTCATGTTTAACAGGAATAAATGTTAAATGAAAATTTGGACTTAAATATTTACAGCCCTTTCCAACCTGTTATGATGATCAGCATTAGATGGAGTTAAATAGATATATTACTTGCATTTGAACCATTTTTTTTGAAAAATTATATTTTGCTTAGTGCTTCACGTATAATGTTTGTATGCATGCATATTCATTTCATTTATCAGCTCCAAAGCCTAGTTATGGTCTACTAATACTCTTTTGCAAAACCTGAGCACATCCTGCCCTCTAGTGGAAGCTAAATGTATCACTTGTCTCCAAACTTGAGTTGCAAATGCTTCACAGAGCTAAAGGTGTACAAATCATCCACCTTTTATATCAGTTTATCATCTTATGAGGGGAAAATACAGGAGTTAAAGCCATGTCAATCCATGTTTTGTCTTACACAATATCGAGAGATCTTGTAACAAACAGTGGCAGGCAATAATAATCAATTTTGAAAATAAAACTTAAAGTTTTTTATTTTTATTTTTCAAGCAGTGTGAATTTATTGCAGTTTTAAAAACTGAAATGCTGTACTAAATCCCTCCTATGTTTAAATACAATAAAGCAAGCAAAGCACTTGATTCAAGCACAATATCCCAGCAGAGAGACTCTCTGAACAGCAACATTTAGCTGAATCACATGAATTTAGCAGAGAATTTAAGATCTACAAAGATCTAAAAGATTATTTTGGCAACTCAACAGCAGAGCCATTTACAGTGTTTGTATTCGAGATTGGATAAAGCAGGAAGCCGGAGAAGGTGCTGTCATCCTCGGTGCTGGAAAAAACTCCGTTCCAGTCTCTCAGTGTCTCCAGCCACACTTGGTCCCCCTCACTCAGCTGCAGCAGCACAAAGTTGGATGCCTGATCAATGTCCTGACCATAAAGGGAATCTCGCGTCCTCATCTTGCGTACCCCGTTGACCACCAATGCGGCACGCAGAGGCCGGTTGCGCACAGTTATGTGATAAGTGAGCACGTAGACCCCTGAGTATGTGATGTTGAACTTGTGAACTGTTGGGTCCCAGTGGCCCTCCCCATTGTAGAAGACCTTATCAAACTTCACAGGCAGGCCGGGTGGGGGGAAGGACCTGCTGGGGAACAAACCCACGCTAAAAGCAGAGCGAGCCTGTTCCAAACTCTCACCTGGAAAGCCTTTAGGCCCCCGAGGGCCACGTGCACCTTTTGCTCCCCTTTCTCCCCTCATACCTGCCAAACCCCTTAGACCTGGTGGCCCTCTCACACCAGCATCCCCCTTCACACCTGGAGGTCCCCTTTCTCCCTTTGTGCCGTCAGTTCCATTGGATCCTGGAGGACCCATATCCCCTTGTGGGCCAGGGAGCCCACGGTCACCCACATCCCCTTTCTCTCCTTTTGGACCCAAGAAACATTCCCCTGTAAATCCCTTTTCACCTTTCTGACCCTTTGTCCCAATTACCCCTGGGGGGCCAATGGGCCCAATGCTGCCCTTAGTCCCATTCATACCAGACTCTCCTTTTTCTCCTGGGTCCCCTTTCATCCCACTGAAGCCACGTTCACCTTTGTCTCCTTTGGGGCCCAGATCACCTATGTACAGTAGAAAGTTATGAACAAAAAGAGCTAAATTTATCAACAGAATGTTCTTCACTTTTTAAAAAAATATCAGACACTTTTTTCATGAGATGTGTTGTGTTTCAATGGGACTATCAACTTAAAGTTTTATGAAAAATTTAGGAAAAACTTGCACACCTTTTTCTCCAGATTTCCCCGGAATCCCTGGGACTCCAGGTGGACTCACAGGGCCTTGATCACCTTTTTCACCTGTTAAGTTGGGAGGGAAAACAGTTTGACGCATAACAGAATTGTACACCAAAAATCAAAGGAGGAACTCTGAAGCAGACACTAAAAAAGTCTCCTGTTATTTCCACTAGTGCCGTGTGGTGTCGGAACGGGTCAGTTCGGGTGCTTTTCCATAGWTGTCCCAGTCCGGATCCAGTGGGTGTGTTTTGGGCGGTTGGTGGAGGTGGTTTTGGGGTTTTTTGAAAAAGTTAATGCACAAAATAAGACATGGAAACACCTTTGATGAATAAATTTTGAAATTTTAAAAATTCGCTAAAAATTTGAATTAAAATTGGATGGAAACATGACTGATGTCACTGCTACAATTGAAAAAATGTCACCTCAAGTTGTTCTTGTAAAGGCAGCTTAGAAGCAACCAGTGACTCCACCCCCTTGCCAATCAGTGATGAAGAGTATTCTGACATCGCATTTTGGTGTCAACTGGGGCTGCTTGGAACCACAAGATGTAGGTACTAAAAAAGTCTGGTTCCATGAATCTGGCCTAATGGAAATGGCTTGGAACCATACCAAACCGCACAGACACAACACTTATGCAGTGGCACTAGTGGAAAAGGGGCATTAGTTTGCGTTGAACCTTTGCTGCCATTGGGTCCCCTTGCTCCTGGTAATCCAGCTGGTCCTGGAGATCCAATTTCTCCCTTTTCTCCTGGTGACCCTGAAAAATACAGCTATTAAAAGTGAATTGAATCACTCCCTTATCATATTTTTTTCCCRACAATGCCATTGCATCTTACCAGGAAGGCCCCTTTCTCCAGGTGGTCCCTGTGGCCCTCTTTCTCCAGCGGGCCCCACTGGACCTTTTTCTGGTGGACAGCACTCACAAAAGTTGAAGAAGCATTCATTGTAGTCAAGGGAATAGTTTCCAGGTTGGTGTGGGCCTATTGCACCTGGGTAAATATCATTTGGGTACGGGTCGCCCTGGAAGACGCTGCTGTTTGTTGGGGACAAAGTGTACGCATCCATCAGAAGGTCTGTAGTTTCCTCTGTGTACAGGCTGTCAGAAGGGGATGATGGGGTTGTGTTGACAATGTGTCCAAACTTTCTACTTCCACCTACTTCACTGCTTTCAGCGTGCTGGGGCTTGTTGGTGCTCTGGGGTTTTGGCCAATGTGTGGTTTTGGCATCAGAGGCTAGGACAACGGTCAGGGTCACGAGGAGAAGGGTTGGGATGATAAGACAAGAGGACGGCATACTGAATGTACAATAATCTGAAGGAGGGTAGAAGGTAAAAAATTGGTCTTTTACGTTTAGGTTGCAATGAAGATGTTTCACCTGCTGAAAATAAATGAACAGGAGAAATTAAATCCACAGAAAGTTGAGCAGATGGAATCTTGTTTTTAAATAAACATTTTTTTTTTCTGAGAAGCTGCAACAATTGGTTATATTGCCAGACTTTAAAGAATAAAAGACAGATTGATGTAAATAATGTAAGCTCTTCATTTTTTTATATCAAAATGCTGAGTTCATCTCTTGGCAATGGAGTAAAAACATTTTAATTTAGTTTTGTATTCTTGTGTTTGGTAAATAAAAGCTTTAATAGGTYAAAACAAATTCCAATCTTGCTCTTTAGAAAAGTTCATTCGTATTAGAAAATGGAATAAAAGMAACAAGTGATTTACCTTCTGATGCCAGTGGTGTTGATTCTTCACTCCATCCCATCCAAGTGGAGTGCTGTTCACAACCGTCTTTTTATTGCTCTTATAGTCCAACTTAAGCACCTTGAAACCAATGAAAGAACAAAGGAGGGAAAACACCGGGGGTKATTATGAGGTAGGTGAGCTGGCAAAAACAGATTGTGTGACTCTTGAGGGATGTAGAATAAAGCAGATTGCACACAAAGAAAGACTTTCTTCTTTGTCGGTCGAATAAATAAACAGTGTATACTACTAAAATATAACTTATGCACAAAATTAGCTTTWTCATAAGCAAGAAACATATCATGTTACAATAACAGATATGTGTTAAAGCCACATTCAGTTTATAAAAACAAACACATTGTTAGGAATGAATAACGTCCACTTTCAAAGTTGCACAGTATGAAAGGTACAAATCACACCATTTGGCTGCACTTCAAAGCAGAAAAATGAATCACAATACACCCAGTGGGAGAAAGCTCAATGTCTTCAAACAGGTGGTATAGCAACACTGATCCAACCATTTACCTCCTTGATCTCACACACTGAAAGAGCACAGTAAACCCAATATGGAAACCTAGTATCAATGAAGTAAGCTCACATGTCTCAGAGGCTCTTTGCTGGCTTTACACATGCACACACAAATACATATGTCTGGCTCTTCAACATGTTAGTTCTCTATTTAGCGCAAGTGGAAGAAACATTTTAAAGCTGACTATTATGGTTATTGCAAAAAAAAAAAAATTCCAGAACTTTCTGCTCTTACAATGTTTAAAACGTATTGTGCATATGGGTGAACATTTTCATACTTATTCTGGCAACAATGGTAACCTACTAATTTGAGTAATGAAAAATTAGTAACATGAATAATTTCGGAGCGAGATCTGCAGCTCTCGCTGGAGCGGTTCGCGGCCGAGTGCGAAGCGGCTGGGATGAAGCTCAGTGC